CGAGAGGGCGAGCGGGCGGGCGGCGTGGGCGCGCGGAGGGGGCTCTTGGTGCTGGAGACGTGTCACAAAGCGTGGGATGTGGAGCGGGGAGCCGGCCGCGAGGCGGCGGCAGGACGAGGGGGGTCCGGGGACGCTGCTCCCCATCCGCACGGACGTGAGGATCTTTTAATTTTGGCGTTTCAAAAGCGATTCCCTCCTTCTGCGAAATTCAAGTAAGATGGAAAGAGAAATCTCACCCGTAATCTCCTCACCCTGCCTTTAACCAATTAGAGAAACACTGTGTTTATAGATATATAAATATATATTTTTGAAAGTCTCTATTTTTCAGACTTCATTTTCTCACCGCTAAAGAAGAGATAATAATAATGTAATTTTATTTTAATCTGCTGCCTCGGAATCCGGTGCTTGAAACTCCTATTCGTCTTTTTCTCCCCATAAAGAGAAGCAGATTAAAGCACCCCAGAGATGTCATGTTTAAACTGACCACAGCAGATACCTGCCAATAACATCACGCCTGCTTCAAGCTGTGACCCGCTCACAGCTTAAATACTAACTCACTAGCTGAAGACAGAGATTTAGACCACGTCCAAATCTCCCACACTAATAAAATCTTCCGACGATTATATATATATATATATTTTTAACACAGAGCTAATCACCTTCCAGTGGCATAGCCAGGTGTTTGTCAGCTACTTTTAAAGGCACTTTTCTTCTTTTATCTCCTTTTTTTAAAAGTTACATTACCATGTGTAACTACCCTTTCTGTCTCCAATTCCATCAGCTGGTGTTGAGGGATCACCCAGGTTCTCGTGCCAACTGGGACCGGTGGGGACCTAGTACTATATTGATATTTTTCTTTACGAAAGGGACAGAAAAGATTCTTTGGTTTTTCTTTGGTTTTAAATGCAGTCATGGTATTTGAGATTCGAGCTTGTGCGAGTTAAGCCCAGCATATGTTTCGTTGTAATCACACTGCCGTTTTCAGCAGCCGGACGTTATCTCTCTCTCACACACACAGACACATCCCTCATTCATGCACAAAGAACTGCATATATTCTTGCCAAAGATATCCTTAAAACGCACTTTTCCCCACATATATATATATATTTTTTTGCGTGTGTAAATTTATTGTACGTGCCATTTTTGTGTTGGTTTGTTCTTCAGAGAACCCCTTTCCCACTCCTCTTCCTTTGCTGTTGATTTTGCTGCCAGAAACGCTCCCAACGAAGGTTTGTTTGCTGTGTGTCCCAAAAAAGTGGGTGATCTATGGCAGAGCCGGGGGGATCCCATCAGTTGAGGACCAGCAAAGCAAGTAGTGCCTGGCCCTGCTCATGGCACATGAAATGTGGATTCCTGTTCATAGCATTTGCCTCCAGCTACAGCATGTGCAAACGATTTTTGGAGAGAGCATCCGTGTCATTGCGTGCTGAAGGGATGTGTCGTGGACCTAAGGGGTTATTCAAGCAGATGAGTTGTGCAACGCTTGGGGTTGCTCTAGATGCAGCAATTGCCACCTGGATCTCCCACCCTTGAGCACGGTGAGGACCAGGTTGGCTTCAGCCCCCTCTGCCAGCCCAGGGCCGCGTGCTGGCCCAGCCCAGCCTCTGGCAGTGATTTATTCATCGATTTTGAAAGACTGAACCAAAGGGCAAAGTGCGCTGGGGCTGAGCAAATTCCCACCCATCAGGTCGGGTGGGAGGAGGAAGCAGTTGCCCCAAAACCCAGACAGCAGCAGCAACAGCAGAAGGCAAAACCTTCCCCTTGGAGCAGGCAGGAAGATTAGACAGCAAAGGAGCCCGCAGGGGCTTGTTTGATTTCGTTCGTTTGTTTTGCAAATTGTGAGGTTGGTTTGGGGTTACTATTTTTTCTTCCTTAAAAAGGAAAGAAAAAATAAAAAGGAAAAGGAAGCAACCCGATGTTTCTGTTGGCGGACCTTGAGCTGCCGTGTTACACGTGTTATTTTTGTTGTTGTCTTTGTTACTTTGGGAACGTTACAGATTTATTTGCTAATCAGTGTTAATGAACAGTTTAAAACTTTTAGACTTTCCCATTTCTGTGTATTTATATAGATGGAAAAATACGTTATATTTTGTATCTTTGTGCCCGTAATGTGGTCGCGTGTGTAAAGATGACTTTGGTCACACCATGTCCATGTGCGAATGTGACTCTGCTTTCGTCTTCCCCTTTGTACAGAGGTCTGATTCTTTGCAGTTCATTGTATGGCTTTATAAAGTGGTAAAAAACAAAAATCAGTTATATAAAATATACTGTTGCTTGGAATGCCAGCTTGGTGTCTGAATTGCTGGAATTGTATCTTGAAATTTAAGGGAGTGCAGGAATAAATGCTTTGTTCTTTTTGCACAGGGGAAAAAAAAAAAAAACAAAAGGAAAACGCTGGTTGCCGTGTTTTCTCCCAGCCGTCTTTTCCTTGATGGCAGATTTGGGGCCCCAGGACAGAGGCGCGGGTGGGCGTGGGAACGAACAGGGGCTTCTCCGCGTGTCAGCCTGGGACCGCAGCTTGTGTTCGCCAGATGGCTGTGGAGCGAAGAGCCCAGCAGCTTCTCCAGCGGCTCCGGCTCTGGATGGGGGATCTCTGCTGCTTGCTGGGCCCCTTGCAAGGGCTGGGAGCAATTTGAATCCTGCTGTTGGGTCCCAGTTTGCCATTAGGCATGGAAGGGGCATGAACGGATGGTATCCTCCATCCAAACCTGCTTCCTGCAGAGCCAGGGAGTGTCGTTGTCCCCATCCCTTTTCTTTTGATGGACTTGACATGTAGTGCCCAGCCCTGGACATCTTCCTGGAGACCGCCTGTCCCTCTCTGGGGGAGTGGGATGGGGCTGATGGCAACACTGGATTTTTGCTGGAGGGGTTCAATCCCAACTCGAAGCTGTCCCATTCCCGGATGCCTAGCAAAAGAAACCAGCTCTCCCAGAAAGCTTCATCTCTGTTTTTTCCACTGCTCATGGATTCCCAG